AAAAAAAAAAAAAAAAAAAAAAAAAAAAAAAAAAGAGCCTGACTTCTCTCTCCTTTCTTGAGTCATTTCTTAAAGGAATATGAGCTTTATTCATCAAGCTTTGCAACCCTAAACAATTAGGAAATCTCCCTCCCACTCCCAACCACAAGTGGGTACTTACAAGGTAGGCAAGGCTCTAGACTTGTCTCTGATCTCTCCGGTGCAGAGTGAATGTACTCTTCTGCACACCTTGGATGATTACTAGCTGACTCCAACCCCAAGAAGGAGGACACGCCAGTTCCGGTTTCCTCCCACTTCCAAGGCAACTTTGCTTCCAAGTGGGTGTGTTTGCCTGTCGGGCTTTTCTGCAACACTTAAGACACAGATGCAAATCTTTCCTCTACCTCCTTCACCACCAAAAAAAAAAAAAAAAAAGATGTTCCTGGCAAATAGCATGCAGCACAACAGAAAGTCAAGCACCTACAAGTCTTAGTACTGTTTCCTGATGACTAGGATCATCTGGCCTCACAAGCAAAGAAAGAGATTTGAGAGGGGGAGGGGTGGGAAAGGCTGAAGTATGGGCAGAGAAACCACATGCCTCAAGGACACCTGTGGTTTCAAGTATTTTGTCCAATTGTCAAACTAGGAGTCTTGATTTGGGGTTTGGAAACTATGGCTGCTGTAAATACAGTCATTAGAAAAGCCAAAGAGCTTGCAGGAAAGGGAAGATTAAAGAAAGAAAACCCCTAAAATTCAAAGAAATATGGCATATTGAGAAACAGATTTGGAAAAATTTTTGTTATATTATGTAACTAGAATTGGATAAGCTAAAATTCTATTGGCTTCTACTTTCAGAAATAAAGAAATAATCACAACTTAAGCAAAAAGTATTTGTTGGGAGCCAACATCTATAGCTACATGGCTGAGGCCTGTAAAGGCCCATCTGGAAGATCGCCTCTGACATAGGATATCAGTTATACCTATAATATTGGCGTGTGATTAGTGACCAGTGTGCATACACGGCAGTAAAATTTATAAGTAAATCTCTATACACCTGATGGAAAGTTGCACAGCAGGATTATGTTATATGACCTTGTCCCTTCTAAGTTTTACTTCTTTCTAGATATTTTTTAACTTCTATTTCCTGGTAGACTGGTTAGTCAGCTCTTGTTCCTGTAGGCAGTTTCTCCTAGGGTTAAGATTAGAAACTAAATTACCATAATAGTTTTATTGCCCTGCCTCTAACCAGGCAGGACGTTTTTCTAGTTTCATTACATGCCGAAACTCTGTTTGCTTCAGCCCGTGGCCATTGTCATGGTAACCATGCAGTCCATTATCCAAGAGTGTGACAGCTACTATTTGATTTTTAGAATAGACTTGTTTGGATAAAACATACATTTAAGACGATACAATTTCCATCGGAAAAGATTTAAACGGTAATAAGCATTCATAGAAAACTTTTAAGTTTTGTTTAAGCTTTTAAGTTTCCTTTTCTCAGATTATGACTTTAGTTCCTGTTCCTGTAGGCCAATTTTAAGATCTTTTGATTAGTGTACCGAAATTTTCCCAACGGTGTTGTTTTTGCTTCTAATATGACAATAGGAAATTTTACACGTAGCCATGTATTAATATACTAGGAAAAAAGATTTAAGTTTTAGGTTAAAGTCGTAGTTTTATTAGAATAGAATGAGAATTATAGTGTTATGATTTTAAAATCATACGTCAATGATAATTATAAGATTTAATGATAAAGTATTAGCTTAATAAGATATAGCATAGTATTAAGTCCAATCACTAGATCATATAAGATTAAAAGTTTAGATTATGAAACTCATATAAGTCATGGTAAGGAATAGGTTTTGAATTAATT